CCCCAAAACCCCAAAACCCCAAAACCCCAAGCAGCCTATAAGTGAATGAATATATTGTATGCTTGCATTGATTAGAGATTAATTTAATCTTTAAGTATTGATATTAGATTAAATATTATAAGAAACTACTTAAAATTTAACTCATTGGCATAAATTTAAGGATATATTATAATTTTAAGACTAAAAGTCATAAATGATATCACTATACATTATCTTCACTTATCAATTAGGATTCTTTGTTTTGTTGGGCAATTCTTTCCTCCTAAAATGTTTATCCTTTAAAACTTATAGGCATTTATTTATGATGTTAGTAGAGCCAATCCATCTTCCTCTTTTTTATTAATATTCTCATCTATCTCAAATGTATCAATATTTAAACTCATTAGATGCTTAATCTAAGGAGTAGATTCATCAATACCATCAATTATTTCCTTCTACTTTTCCTTTATATTGTTAACATTTGACAAGTTTAAGTCCAAGTCAGATATTTATTGATAGTAAGAAAGCTCCTTAGACTTACCTCTATAAAACTTGCTTTTATTGATCTAAAGGTATTAACTACTTTTACTTTCCTCATGCGAACCTTTTTTGTTCAAGAATTTGGATTTATCATGCTTAAGTGTCTAATTTGCTTGAGGTTTCTAAGATGTGGATCTTCTATGACTCTGTATCATTTCATAATAGTTTATTGGAACAGAATCACTACTCTTGTTTAGAAAATTACCAACAGAGTTTTGAGATATTGATGACTTTAACTAATAAAAACTTTCACCTTTGAGGAAAGACGAAAGTGTATCTTTGGATTTATTTCCACTTTTACTTTTATCTTTGATATCTTCAACTTCATCATCAGGTGGTTCCACTAATAATTGCTATTCCAAAAAGATTTATGATGTTATGGCTGAATTCCTTTTTAAATTGTCGCTACATAGCCAAGCATTAATCTGAAGAGCTTATTAAAGAATTTAATAGTCTGCACTGAACCATGGATGTTCTAGGGCTTATCTTGCGGTCAGCCTCTTATCAGGATTTGGCTATAAAATTTTCATTAATAAATCCCTTGCCTAATTTGAAATACTCTTGGTAAGCTCTTCGACATGGCTTAAGTTACAATTTTTACTTAATAAAAGTATTTCTCTATAATTGGGAGAATTGAACAGGAATTTACCAGTTACCAGATTATACATTATTGAGCCTAGCGAAAATATGTCTACTTTAGTAGTGTAACCATTATCCATTAAAACCTCAGGTGCAATGTAACTTGGTGTACCACATTTATGGAATAATTTAATGCCAGGCAAGAGTTCACAAGCCAATCCAAAGTCAGCTATTCTTATGTCAGTTACTTTTTCATCTTTAGAATTTAAAAGTATATTTTCAAGTTTTAGATCTCTGTGAACTATATTTCTTTGATGAAGAAAATCTACAGCTAAAAATAGTTATTCCATAATTGTCTACAAGTCTTATTCATTTAATTTCTTATCTTTTCCAATCATATTAAGGAGAGTCCCTCCTTCTTAATACTCTAGGAGTAAATAGATCTTGTCTTAACTTTCATATACTCTAAAAAGTTTAAGAGCATTTCCGCATTAATTAACCTTCCAATGAGTTGTTATCTCATTTTACAATTGAATGACGCTAATTTCAGAATGCAAATTATCTTTAATTATAGTTTTAATGGCATACAATTTCTAATTATTACTGTCTTCTTTTTTATTTTCTGTATTGAAAATAATTGGCTTTTTAACTTTTTTTGCTAATCTTACAGTTGCATTTGCTCCTTCTCCAAGATGCTTTATTATTTAAAATGAAGATGGTTGATCGATTCGAATTGTGTAACTATCTAATATTTTTATCCATTGTTTAATATTGCAATGTTGTGATTGCTCAAAATATAGCCTCGCATTTTATTTAAATATCTTAAATTTTGAATAATTTCTTCTAACATCTCTTTCAGCATCCATGTACGAGAATCAAATATCTATGAACTGAAATGAGATAAATTCATCTTCACATTAATTCTTATAAAATATCATTATTCCTTAATAAAATCCAATATGAAAAATGCTTTCCTCAATTTCTAATTATTTTGATGAAACAATATATTAGTCAAACAACTCGCACTAATATGACTGAATATTTTCATATTCTGTTCCAACAACAGATTATTTACTAAGTAAATAATTCCCCAATCTATCGAATAAAAATGCTTTTTGCTATAATTTTCTCATAATTTAATGTCTTTGTCAACTATATATTAAGAAATGATTTATATTACTTTAGATTACTAGAGATTAATAGCTCAAATAACTTAAAAAGTTTTAAATCTTAAATAAAGTACATAAATTTCATAGTATTATATTCTCTGATTTACATAGAAATTATCATTTTCAACTAATTTAACAAAATGGGGTTTTGGGGTTTTGGGGATCTCCATTGATTGTAGCTTAAAGCCGGT